AGACGCCCGCAACAAGGCTAAAGGAGTTCCCACCTGGGAAACCGGAGCGGCAATGTCCCCCACCCCACAGTGTGTAGCTCCTCAGGGTGTTGGAGAAAACCAATAGGAATTGAAAGAAAACAAACAAAAGCCCTGGGACAAACTCTGTGGGCCCCTTGCTTTGCTCACCACAAAGGTCCGTAATAATACGATGGACCGAAAGGAAACAAGGACTGCCTGGGACCAAACACACTGCCTGGAGGACACGGTGGCTGCCCGACAAATGGCAAGTCTCTTCCCTTCCTGCTCAGGAAGCGAGGATTCTTTTCCAACACATTGAGAGAAAGGGCTCTGTCTTAAAATGGGGACAGCAAAGGTGAACTAAGAACGAAAACTGGAAATGACTACAAAAACCAGATTAATGCGTCAATATGCACCCAGCCGAATATAGAAGCATGAGACCTGTACCTATAAGATGCCTAGTTTGTGTATAATTCACACCCTGAGATCCTGTTAACCAGAGCAAGACAGTCTGTGTCCTTTCAATGTCCGATGTGCCTCTGGGGAGGACACAGTGAAGAGAACCTGGATCTCAGGACTTGGAGGTCCACCTTGGGGGTGCAGACCAGCAATGGTCAGCCGGTGCACTGCAGGAATTTGTAAAGCCTGCAATACCTGACTATTTAGTCAGGGGCACGGACCTCTTTTCCCTTAGACTCTAAAATCAAAAAATGGCAATAGCAAACAACAATAGCCATCTGGTGTGAATGCCCTGTCTTGAACCATAAATATGTAGGTCACATAATAGAGTTGAATCTTGCTGGTCATGTCCCATAATAAGGTTGCATCTGACTGGTTAAATCTTGGTACCAGAAATCCTTATATACAAGCATAGGCACCTGATACACTTGACTACTGTACAGTATGTCCTTGGGCGACATGTACAATTTTCATCACACTCAATCAAAACAATGACCGTTTTTGTCAGATTGGCAAAAATATATTTTTTGGTGTGTTGCAAAATTTTAGTAAGTAGTTTCTGCATGCCATGAGATGAAAAAGGTTGAAAATCGCTGGTGTAGACAAATTAAGGCTCTTCCTAAGAATCACTAGTGGCTGACCAGCACAGAGAGGGCTGGTTAAGTGAGACCAGCATCCTGTTCTGCTGCTGGAAATTGCTACATGTGGATCTCCGTATGTCAGAAGGATGTTCTGTTTGAGCTGAAATCTGGCTCTCTATCACCCCTACCCCACTGTTTCTCATTTGTTCAAACAAACAAGCAAGCAAAAAAATGTTATTTAATGATCATTTACTTAGCGCTTAGTTATGGGGCAGTAGGACCCCAACCCCGTTAGGCTGGAATGAATGAATGAAGAGTGAAGGGACAGTGGACACTTGGGAAGGGCTATAAGCATGCCGGAACGGTCACTACGGCTCAGAACTGGGGCGCAGACTGAGGAAGAGCAAGACCACCAAAACGCCTAGAGACAGAAGCCATGTGGAGGAGGCAGTGCCGTCAGGAGAACAGAAAGCAGAGGTTTCCCTTCTACACAAATCCTTGAAATACCTGCAGGGAGTGCTAGGTCCTTCAGACGACCAATGTGCGGAGGAGCTGCCACGGTTCCTCCGAACGACTGTGATCAGAGAGTGACCGGCACAGGGCTTGAGGCAGCGGACTCTGGGACCACACAGCTGAGTCAAGTTCTCACCTGTCACTCCGTGTTAGGGGGATGTCAGTGAGGTACTTCGCTTCTCTGTGTATGTTTTCCCATCCGTAACATGGTGATAACAACGAGTTTGCTGTGGGATGCAGCGCATTGAGGACAAGCACATCCTAATGACGTTTGTGGCCGAGGCAATGGAGTCTGCCTTGGCCTGTCCTCTCACTCCTCACTGCAAGTCTGCCAACAAATCCCACTGGCTTTCTCCCTGCAAAATAGGTTCAGAATCTGACCACTTCCACCACTGCCACACTTCTGTCCCAAGCCACCATTATCTCTCACCCGGTTATTGCAACATCCTCATCAGTGTTCCTACGCAGCAGGCAGGGTCCTGCTGTGAACAGCTAGGTCAGACCATGACACCTCTCTCTCAGTTCCCTCCAATGGCTCTTGCTCCCGCCAGGAGTAAAAGCGGCAGGGCTCTGTGGGGAACCTGTCAAGTCAAGGAATGCTAATATTTATATTCATCTTTGTATTGTTGACATGAATACGTATGTTGCTATATAGAGTATATCTTATTGTTATTTTAAAGATTTTATTTGTTTTTATTTGTAAAAATATTTTATTTATTTTTAGAGAGGGGAGGGAAGGAGAGAGGGAGAGAAACATCAATGTGTGGTTGCCTCTCATGTGTCTGCTGCTGGGTTCTGGCCTGCAACCCAGGCATGTGTCCTGACTGGGAATCGAACCTGCTACCCTTTGCTTCGCAGGCCTGTGCTCAATCCACTGAGCTACACCAGCCAGGGCTATTTATTTTTAGAGAGAGGGGAAGAGAGGGAGAAAACCAAGGAGAGAAACATAGATATGTAAGAGATATATCAACTGGTCATCTCTCATATGCTTCCAACTGGAGACCTGGCCTGCAACCCAGGCATGTGCCCTGACTTGGAATCAAACTGGTGACCTTTTGGTTCACAGACTGGCACTCAATCCACTGAGCCACACCAGCCAGGGCAATATATAATTATATTATGTGTATATGTAATACACATAACATTAACGTAGTACTATATTGTATATAATACATAATATGTAATAGATACTATATGTGCAATATAATATATTACAATGGTATTTGCCATGGAAGTTAACAGATGAATCTTTAAGTTTTATTCAAGATGGTTGGCCAAATATATATATATACATACACACACAAATTTTTCATATATATGCACATATGTATGTATATAACTATACTTTTGATTAAAATATAGTTTTAAGATTAGAAAACTATAAACCTAAGGGTAGTTACTTCTTTATGAAATTAACTGGATTGTAACAGAACTAGCGATTCTCTACATATAATAAAAATGTTTAAAATTGAGTATTGCTATAACACTTCTGGGGACCTTTTACCCTACTGCCCGGGAAACAGTAAATGTCGAATACCCATCCCTGAGAATCTGAGTGGCGTTCTCATCCTCCCCTTTTCCTATAGTTACTGTGAGACTCACTCACATACACACACACACATATCAAAATGCCTTTCAAGCACGAAAGAACTACATCAATTTCAAGTATTATTCTTTTCTTTGATTAAATTAATCTGACACATTTTGGACAAGCTAGTCAAGCCTAATGCTGATTAATCTATTTTCATATTTTCAATGGAGCAAGCTATTTCAACATTATATTCAAAGTATCAGTAGTAATAAAATACCAAGAAAAAGAGCCCCTGTTAGCACTCCCCTCTGTATACGACATGAAGAGAAACGTGATAGAGTACGGACATTCATTCCCTCCGAATTAAACACGGCAACACCGCAAGTCTCAGGAGATGAGATTAAGTTTTGTGTTTGGTTAATACTGGGAATTCTCTGTAGGCGGGGGTAGAATTATATTTGGTTGGCAAAAAGCCAAATAAACTTCATACTTGTCATAGAAGTGGGTGGACAAAAACTCCATTCTTGTCATTGAGGCTACTGGCTACAGTTGCTTAAAATAGCTGGATCTCAAAATCTTTTGTGTTATCCGTTTTGAAGATACAACATTAAGAAATGAGATAAAATTAGGCCAAATTAAAAAGATAATAAGTTGGAATTGACCTTGAGGAAACAGCAGGTCCAAGGAGACAGAGCACATCAAATAAAAAGAAAGAACAGAACTGGGTTTTTCAAGTGGCATCACCAGATACATACACAATCTTCGAGTTTATTTCTTCAGGACAAATGGACTCAGAAACCAAGGTAAGAGGGAAATGCACGCACGTCCTTTTCTCCGTTCTCAAAATACGTGCTGTAAATTTCCTAGAGTTCATAGTGCAGGTTTCAGAAGAAGCCCTCGCTTTGGTGGAAGGAAGTGCATGCTCTTTGATATGCCTGGTTTTGCTGTAATAGTATACAAAGTCTCTCTAATAAATTTAACCGCGAAAAAAAATCTTTTTAACGTGTCTGCATTCTGCTAATTTATAAAAAGCAGGATGCTGTCAGATAAAATTTCATGAACATGATCTACGAACCAGACTGTCAAAAGTGAAAGGTGCTCCAGCAGCACTTAGGGGCCACAAACGCATGAACCGCTGGGAAGGTTTTCTGTGACTTTGGGAAAACAATGTACGGTGCAGGGGCTCACGTTACCTCGATTTGCAAGTTACTGTGAGGTCACAGGAAATCCTGAAATGTTTTCCACATTTTCTTTTATACATTTTATGTCAAATTTCCTGCAATTGAAATCATAAACCCTCCTACTGCTGGAATCTCTTCTAAAGGAAAGGAGATCTCGTGACATTCCCCCATGAACACCTAATAACTCAGTTCCTACTCATGCAGCAAGAAGCTGAAAGACAGGACTGAAAATGGACTCTGATAAGGCTGAAATGTCAGATGCCCTCACTCGTTCAAAATGGAAACCAAACTGGTGTCATTAAGACAGCCCTAAAAGTGCGTTTAATCTAATGACAGCCGACTTTCCTCTAGAATGAGAGATAACAGAAGAAATGATAGATTGTCCCACAGACATAAACCTACCACTTCCCCAAATCTCTCATGCAAAATGTATGTGTGGATTTATGTTCTAATTTTAAAACAGCATTTTCTGTATGGATATTCGTAACATGATTCACGCTTCTGACAACCATATTTTATTGTCCTCATGATGTTTATGAAAGGCTAAGTCCGATTTAAGTAAAATGTCCAAGTTTAAAATATTCCTTCAAGATTTATTACAACCGTGGAATTTAAAAATAGCTTTTAAATGGTCAAATGCTCTGTTTTACAATAAATCTAAGCTGAACAATTCAAGTTCATTAGTGAATACTAATGTTTAAGGCTGCGGCATCATGAGTTATTAGGGCACATTACCTCTCCTGACATGTCAGGTGCCATCGGAACAGCAGGCCACAGAGATGAGTAGATTCCAAAAAACACCACCCAGAGTGCGATGCTGCCCCAGATTGCTATGTGGCTGAACTGCGAAGGAAGGGAATCGGAGTCAAATGACTTTTAGGTAGATGGAGAACACAGACATGAATAAAGCTTTCACAAAATCCCTTATTAATTTTTTACTACATCCATAAAATATTATCGATGGGCACTTGCAAATAATTGGGCCTCTGTTTTAACTGGATCTTTCATTAAGTGCTAATCTCTCTGCATAACAGTCACGATGTTTGTGGCATTTGGGACTGGTCTTTCTCTACCTCCTTCGGTGGGTCTCTCTTCTACTCTTATTTTTTAATCTCTTACCATCTTTGAGCCTCCTTGATTTTTTTCTGTGCATGCTCTCCCTGAAATGTGTCAAAGACACTTGTGTGAATACTATGTGTATACTCAGAGCTGCCAAATCCAAATTTTTAGAGCCAATCTTTCCCCTGAGCATCAAAATTAAATTTTCTTTTCTTCCCCCTGCATTCCTTCCTTCCTTCCTTCCTTCCTTCCTTCCTTCCTTCCTTCCTTCCTTCCTTCCTTCCTTCCTTCCTTCCTTCCTTCCCTCCTTCCCTCCCTCCTTCCCTTCCTTCCTTCCTTCCTTCCTTCCTTCCTTCCTTCCTTCCTTCCTTCCTTCCTTCCTTCCTTCCTTCCTTCCTTCCTTCCTTCCTTCCTTCCTTCCTTCCTTCCCTCCTTTCTTCCCTTTTCTCCTTCCTTGTTTACTAGGTTTCTCTACCTGGATGTGAATATACTTCAACACAAAGGTATCTAAAATGGAACTGCTTTATCCATACCGGATATTTATAACCATCTGAAGACAAAGCTTTTGCTAATATTATTATTAATCTTCAGAATCATTTTGCAATGGTTTTTCTGCCAAATGCTAGTCTTGTGACACATTTTACTAAGAAAAGATTCCTTGCCAGAAAGTTTAAAAGCTTCTCCCCTTTCTGGGGTCTAAGAAGTCTTCCAGTAAATAAACTTGCTGTGCTCAGTGTTTCCAAACTAGAATCCCTGGTTCTACTGCCTCCGTCCCTGACCCACTGCAATTAACAAGCCATAGAAGGAATGAGGGTTAAAGGATCCATAAAGTCAGAATGCCAAACTACAAAAAAAGTGCCAATAACACATAAGTAAACGTGACATTTCCTGGTTGTGATTAGAGACACTCTTACCCATGTCCAATAGGATGTTTCCAATCCAGCTTTCAAACACACAGTTATCACCACAAACTACAACAGAAGGGAAAATGTTATTCTTAAGTAAATAATGAGTTTAAGGGATGAGTGAAAGTGAGATTTATAAAGAACAGGTATCTCTGAATTAGACGGTCGAACTAGATTGTTCACAGAACCCTGAACATGTAACAAGCAAAGAATCGAGTGAACGAGCTGGTGGCTGAACGTTATGATCGTGACTGGCCAGAACTGCTGCCTGTGGGTAGCACCACACTCCTGCCTCCGCCACTGCCTTCCAGCCCATCCATGCGGCTCCGGAGCCTGCGTCCGCCTGCTTCTGGACACTTCAGGAATGGAGACGGAGACAACATCTGCAGGAACTTGCATTTTAAAGCTTTTTCTTTAATTTTTTGTATCATCTTTAATACTTAGGGCCCTTCGTTTTTGAATTTTAAAGGTAATTCTAAAAGTGACATACCTGGATATTTAGAAACCTAAACACTTACTTTGACTTATTTGATAACCCTACTTGTTTGAAACTTTGCAGAGCAGGATATAAGAGCTTGTTACATGATGTAAACACCCACACGTCACTGTCGGTGACTGTGCTACTCATTGTGAAGTAAGGGAACCAGGTTTAACAGACCTCCCTGTTTTCCACAGGACAGTGTAATGATTAAGTAGACTCGGCCTGGGGTCGGACCATTTCTGCTTGAGACTGCGTCATTTATTAGCGGTTTTGGTTAAGGAACCAGGCAAGTTACCCAACATCTCTGCATCTCAGCTCCTTCATTTGTAAGCTGGGATTGATAAGACCCCTTATTGGGGCTTGAGTATAAAATACCAAGAGCAGTGCTCAGCACTGTACTTTATTAGCATCTTTTTATCATTAATGAAATTTCAAACACTGTTAGTAGTCAAGGGAACTCTGGGCACGTTCTGTAGTTTGCAGCGATGGGAATGTGAGGTTGGTGAAATGTCCCCAAAGAGTGGAGACTTCTTTCCCATTATAGTTATCATGAGACTCTAGAATAATCCAAGAACAGTAAAAGCAAAAACATCTTAGTAATGACAGTACAAGAAAACTGAGAGGAAAGGGAGAAGGAAGAGAACAGGGCAAAAAGGGGTAATATGAGTAAAAAGGGAATAATGAAAATGATAGCAACCAGAGAGTCCTATAAAGCCAGTGAACCTAAATGACAGTTTGATAAGTTAATATATAATAATCTCTTATTAATGAAAACATCTCATTTTATTCTCAGAGGGAAGCACAACCAATCCTTAAATCCAGAAGTGTGTGCATTTAAATTTGAAAATAGCTCAGAAGCGACCGACACTGTTAAAGGCTGTTGTTTCTGTCAAAATGCAGATCTTCGTGAAGACCCTGGCTGGCAAGACCATCACTCTGGAGGTGGAGCCCAGTGACACCATTGAGAATGTGAAGGCCAAAATCCAGGATAAAGAAGGCATCCCCCCTGACCAGCAGAGGCTCATCTTTGCAGGCAAGCAGCTGGAAGATGGCTGCACTCTTTCTGACTACAACATCCAGAAAGAGTCCACCCTGCACCTGGTCCTCCGTCTAAGGGGTGGCTGTTAATTCTTCAGTTTTGGCATTCATAGTCCCCAGTGATGGCCACTATTCTGCATTCTAGCCATTTTTCCCAGTTTAAGTTTAGAAATTACCAGTTTCAGTAATAGCTGAACCTGTTCAAAGTGTTAATAAAGGTTTCATTGCACGGTAAAAAAAAATAAATAAATAAATTTGAAAATAAAGTGAGCACACACAAACAGATTCCATTTACATGCAAACTAGGCAAATGTCCTGCACTCACAGTGTAAACAAAGTTCCCCAACAGCAGGTAGTCCGAGGTCTTCCCATTTCCGAACACAGTACCTGTGGGCAGAGAAGAGAGAGGCCTGTTAGAAAAGAAAATGAAAGAGTGCCCTTCAGGGCTGGAAAGATGTATTCAGTCATGAAAGGCGAGGACCTACATCCAAGAGTGATAACTCTGTCTCCTAAAACTATTGTTTAGAATGGGAGGGCAGATAAACTTCCACCCAGAAAAGGTCGAGGTAAAGGAGTCCATCATCACTAAGCCCTTATTATACGAAGTATTAAAGAGACTTATCTCAGAAAAAGAAGATCAAAATACTAACAGGAAAATGACAACTCACAACTATCAACAACTGAACCTAAAAAAACAAAAATGAACTAAGAAAACAACTAAAACGGGAATAGATTCACAGAAATGGAGATCATATGGAACATTATCAGTGGTGAGGAGCGGGGAGAATGGGGGAAAAGGTACAGGGAATAAGGAGCATAAATGGTAGGTACAAAATAGACTGGGGGAGGTTAAGAATAGTGTAGGAAATGGAGAAGCCAGAGAACTTATATGTACAACCCACAGACGTGAACTAAGGTGGAGGAATGATGGTGGGAGGTGGGGTACAGGGCAGAGAGGAATAAAGGGGAGAAAAAAGTGGGACAACTGTAATAGCATAAGCAATAAAATATATTTTAAAAAAGAAAGCATTCCCTTCAGAATCCTTTCGAAGGTAAATCAACGTAGAAGTAGTAAATCAACTAAAGAATGGAGCCAAGGGCCACACAATGGAGCTAGAACTAAGGCTAAAAAAACACTGTAAGGAGTCTCACAAAGTTACTAGAAATCAGGTCACACATTAAAAACACATTTCCAATAGCCAATATGAAGAAGGAAACCTGACTTGTTAACCAGCTCTCAGGGTCCATGACATTAGGAAACAATGAAACTGACTAGTCAAGCCAAGCGCAACGCTCTGAGCGCTGAGAAGGGAGAGGCCTCTGAGCCCTCAGCAGAGAGCCCTGATAACAACGGGGTGAAGGGGGCCTTCCTACTATCTCTCAGTAAAGTTCTGGCATAAGGACCAAAGAGGCTCGTAAGAGCAGCTCACAGACGGCCGAGGAGCACCGTGTGATTCCAGGCATAGGGCACTCTGAGGATCTGGCTCAATTTAGGGCAATAACATAGGTATTTCATAACTCCAGTAATAATGGATGAACATGGCTTTAGATGAAGGGAGTGGTAGCTAACAAGTAAAAAGCACTATTACTGATGTAAAAAAATCACATTAAAATAAAAAAAAAACCTGAATAATTCATTGGTATCACCAAACACTTAAAAATCCATAGTATGTGTAACATACTATTTTCTATAGACACACAGTCGATAATATTTATCCAAAGCCTGATATGTAAGAACAGAACATGTTAGACTCAGTGTGGGCTGAGTCAGGGAGGGTGGTGCTGGGAGGGAGAGAAAGGCAAGAAGGGCGGGCGTCGGACCCGCAAAGTTTGGTTCTGTCACTACTTGCGTCCTCTTGGGTAATTCATATTCAGTCTCCGCGGAGCTCAATTTCTTCATGTAAAAGATGGGGTGAGACTCCCTACCTGTCGGGCCTTTTCGGTTAAAGTGAGGTAACATATGTAGAAGACCAAGCAGGATGCCTGGCACATGGCGGACATCCCAAAATGTGACCTGTCCCTCCCTAAAGCATTCAGGTCAAAGTAGCCAGGCGGGGCCGCCTGCCGGGAGCCCAGACGTCCAGGAGACCACCTTTCTCTATGGGGGGGATGCCATGGTTATGGACGGAGGGTCTGATGTGCTACTCTTGTGGGTATGTAGCAGACAAACTTGCAAACGTTTGCAATTAATCTGCAAATTTCCATGAAAAAAATCAACAAACTCAGAAATCTCTAAAATCTCTGAAAATATCTTGATTACCTCTGCTGATTACTTTGGTTAGTTCCCTTAGCCAATGTAAGCAAGTGATCAAAAATAATCACAGTTGGGCCCAACTAAGTCTTCTAATCACCATTTGGTTCATCACAAGAAAAACAGAAATTCATTTCAAAATCACATTGAGAAAAAAAAGCTTCCTGTTGGGCTTGTCAGGTTTGGCATTTGGATGATTCAGGTGAATCATTCATTCTCATATTTTCTGGTCTCTGGACTCTTAGAGTCTTAAAAATTATTGAGGGTCCCCCAAAAGTTTGTTTATGAAATTTCTAGCTATAGTTACCAAATTAGAAATTAAGACAGAACATTAAAAATATTTGTACTGATATGTTTAAAAATTATAGTAACTAACCGAATATGGTACTATGAATAATAAATTTTATAAAAAATAATTATTTTCCAAAATGAAAAAAAAGAGAAAAATGGGCATTGTTTCACATTAAAAAATCTCTTTAATATCTGGTTTAATAGAACACAACCAGATTCTCATTGTTTTTCTAAATATATGAGGGAAATCTAACTTCCCAGTGAGACAGAGTTATAAGGCAGGGCATATTTTAGCAATCTTTTCCAATAACTGGGCCTTCTTTGGTAGTAGATCAAAACTCAACAAGCAGTTTCTTAAAGAGGTAGAGACAGTTCCTTCAAGGTTAGTTGCAGGGTGGACTTTTGGTAGTCTCTTACATTAAAGTGCATTGGTCCACTTGGCACTGGGCATGGGTCTTTTACCCTGCACGACACTGTAACCCCAGGTCACAGCTGCAACGACCCACAAGGCACTTGACCCTGACACGAGCCTGGCACTTTGGCACCCAGCAGAAGTGCTTCAGGCGTACTTCCCATTCATTTGTCACTCAGAATATGAATAAGATAGATGCCAAGTGGAGAGACTTAATAAAAGTACTAGTTGTACAGTATCTTCACGAGTATTCTGAAAGTGAAACTGGCTTTTTTAGTGGCTTTTTAAGTGTGGGGGTACTTGGCAATGAGGGATATGATGACTGCTAGTACAGCGGTATTTCTGTCGTGCCAAAATACTAGCAATTTTACTCACCATTGCTCTTGTGTCAGTAGGGATAATATCTTGGTAATATTATAAAAAATGTGAAGCTATGAAATGTTGACTTCAAGGACCTACTAGACCACCCAAAGGTCTCTGGTACTCCCAAGGGTTTGCAGAACATACTTTGAGAACTTCACACACTGAAATATGTGAACAAGCAAGCTTACTTGAAAAAACAAACTTGAACTGGAGAACTTATCTATGGTCAAGGAATCCGGAATTGTATCCTGGTTTTCACTATCTCATGGCTCCAAAAAGTGGAATTAATCCAAATCTCCATCAGCCGGTAAGTGGGTAACAAAACATGATAGAGCCATTGCATGGAATATTTTTCAGCTACAAAGAGGAATGAAGTACTGAGTCGGCTGCAACACGGGCAGGCCAAGGCCACACATCGCATGCTTCCATTTATGTGAATGGCCTAGGGCAGGAAAGTCCACAGAGATGAAAAGTGGTGGTTACTGGGGCCTTGGGGGAGGTGGGGAGACGTGGGAAGTGACTGCTAATGGGAATGGGGTTTCCTTTATGGAGTGATGAAAACGTTCTGGCATCAGATAGTGGTGTTATTCGCATTGTTCTGTGAATACACTAAAAACCACTGAATCGTGTAATTTAAAAAGATGAATTTTATGGTATGTGAATTATATGTCAAAAAAAAAATCCCATTGTGGTTCTCCCCGCCTATGGAGTCAGTGTTCTCTACTTTAATCAGATTTCTTACCACATTCATTTCCATGGCCTAAAAAATGAGCAGTATTTACTACTGTACTGGCAGAGCAATGAATAGAGGCACAAGATAAAAATCTCTGACTTCAATAAATTAAAACAAATCTCTGACGCGGACATGGAAATGCTGCCTTCGGCCACAGGCTCTCGCTGCCTCATTGTGACGTTCCCAGTGTCTACAGAGAGCAGGGCTCTGGTTTAAGCACTGCACCCGCAACAGGAAACTAAATGAACAGTTTCCTGTCTTTCTGGAGCTCCGATTCTAACAGGGGAGAAAGGCAATGAAAAATAAGCAGGTATCAGACCTCGTTAGACAAGTATTGTGCAGAAGGTACAAGACAAGGGGATAGAGGGACAGGAGCCGTGAGGACAGTGTTGGTGGCTCATTTGGATAAAGGGGCCCTGAGCGGGCCTCTCCCAGCACAGACCTGGGGAGTGAGGGGGCGAGCCAGCTGGGCTGTCAGGGCAAAGAGTGAGGAAGTGCACGGGGCCCAGCAGGGGGAACAGGGAGGAGGAGAGTGGGGGGCCGTCAGATGGAGAAGCCGGCCAAGGTTGGGGCTATGGATTCTGTTCTCAGTGTGATAGAAGTCTGTGGGTTTTTTAAAAAGTCCTCACTTGAGGATATGTTTATTGATGAGAGAGAGATTGTTTGCCTCCTGTACACTGCCTGGCCGAGGAGGGAACCTGCAGCCTGGCTATGTGCCCTTCCGGGATTTGAACCTGCAACCTTTTGGTGTACAGGATGATGCTCCAAACAAATGAACCACCCAGGCAGGGCAGTGTTTTTGAGGAGAGAGGCACCTGGTCAGGTGCACTTATTACAAGGACTATTTTGGCGGCTCCAGGAGAACCGACCACAGGTGGGCAAGGATGCGCGGACAGCCCGCTTTTCTGTGGGCAATCACTAACTCACGGTCGGCGAGGCCCCGGCCTGCACCATCCGGGAGCTGACAAATCCTCGGATGGAGTTTTTAATTACTATAGTTCGGGAGCAGAGGCACTGAGCGGTCGGCTAGTAGTAGCACCAGCTTAAGCATCGCAGAGATCTTTCTCTGAAGTGGCTACTTAATCATTTTAATGTATATAGGAAATTCACCATGATCCTACCTTTCAAAACTGACAGAATAACGCCACGTCCTTAAAAGAACTGGAGAAAAAGCTTATAGTCCAAGATGAACATAAAAACAGATTGAAACGCTCATTCAAGACAGCGGCTCGAGTCTGCTTGAAAATACTAGCATGTCTGATGAGGTTCAGTATAGAGAGCGTGAGACAAGCCTCATAGGTGTAATAAAATATCGGCACTGTTTTCTTCAAACAATACATCAACACAGGACCAACAAAGCCCTAAAATTTAATTCTCTGCAAGTTGGGAAAACATGAGAAGTAGAGAAGAAAGGCTTTGCATATATTAAATCACTTTGCCCCCAAAGGAATAATAAAAACCTTTAATGTGTGTATGACTTTTGGATGCATGTATTTCAGGTTAAGGAACACCATATAACGAAACACTGCTTTAACTTTTAACATATATCGACAATAAATTATTTTTCTAAAAAAGTAAAAAGTCATCTCTTAGCATTCACATCCTTTCTACTTACCATACTGAAGGGCTTTTAGTGGAAACCAAAACAGAATAACTGAGTGGAAGAGGCCATTTAAACAATGAACCCAGAAAACCTGAGGGAAAACAAAAATCCATGAGAACCACTTGCGATCAACTGGCTCTGTGAACTCTGACCTTTCTTTTTATCCGGGAGCTGGATTCACAAAACGTGTCTCTGCCGGGCCACCACTGTGAATTAATAGAACTGACAGACACTTTCTGCCTCTTAGACCTTCATGGGTCATTTATTTATTTTTATGTTTCTCAAAATGTTTTTTTCAGCTTCACTGACATTTTTTCCTACCTTTTAAAACCAAGTATTAAACATTTAAATTTCTGCTGAAAAAGAAAATAAAATTTTAAATAATGCAGATCCTGGAATTCTTTTCAGTGGGACTATTTTCACAATTCCAGAAGAAGAGACTTTGGAAAAGATCGAATTGGGTGAAATCCTTACTTTCTCTTTCTTGTGTGCCGTGGAAGTGTAAAGTTTTTGATGGTAAGGGTATAATGCATTCATATTCTTTCTCTCTCTCCATGTATCTGTGTGTGTATATATGTATATACATGTTATATACTCAAACTAGCTGGTATTACATTTTAAATTGTGTAATTCCTTAGTAAAGCATTGTACTACATAAAAATATAACTGAATTTATTAAAGGCTTTCACAATTTTTAATGCCTGTCAACATCAAACTTTGCACAATTATAATATCATTTAATAGTTATTCCTTTCGACATCAATTGTATTTTAAGAACAAGAGAGCAAGCGTCACTGGTACTTTCTTTTGCTTTGTAACCTGAATATGAAGGATTAATTTATAGGAACATTTTGGAATTCTTACAGCCCTTTGAACAATTGCAGTTTGTCATTTAAAAGTGATTCTTGCAAACAAAACTTAGGCTAAATAAAACTGTCACGTATTAATAGTTTTAAGCTGTTCAAACAACAGAAATTAAGTTGCCTGCCTCCCCCAATTTTCCACTGTGATCTCAGTCTCCTTTGCTAGTTCACGCAGCCACACAGGATTGTATGATCCAATTTACGCTCCAATACATTACACATTTGAACTTGTGTTACTCATTAACCTTTGTCTCTTCCCCTCACTATGTCATTACCACAAGTTTTTATTTGACAGAAAGCACAGGTGGGTGCAAGAAAAATTAGTTCTACTTTTCCATTTTCCTGACCGCTACTTATTGTCACATGCTAATCCTTTAACCCCTGTCATGACCTCCGAACCTCCGACCCTTTTTACCATAACAAACGTAATCGTTGTCATTCAGGGTGACAATGCCCTCCACTGGGGACCCACAATAACTGCCGGGCGTACAACTCTGCATTTTGTAGCCATTTGTCTCTGAATTTTAAAACACTTCCATGGGATTTAATCACAGAATTTTCACTGAAATCATTAGAAAGATCCATAAACCCTATTAAAAAATGGTGGGCAGCTCATGTCTATATATATACTGAAATGGATACAGAAGTTGAGGGGTGGGCGAAAGTAGGTTACAGCTGTTCATATGGAGGAAGACAAATGATAGCATCACTACAACAAGAGAAAACTCTAGCAGGCTCACAACTGTGAATTCCCTTTTGCCCAGCCTTGTATAGTCTATGTGGACGGATCTGATGATTTTTGGTGATGCATGGGCTCTGACAATAATGATACTTCGTGAAAAACAACAACAAAAAATAGTAAAGTTTGCAAGGACAGATGCATCCACATTTAAACTGTACTACCTGCTACACCTTCTCCCCGGCCACAAAGCCATGTCCGCACTGAGATGTGCAAAGGGCATGAAAGGATGTGACTTTTTAGAGCTTTGAGTAGTCCTGTGAGCAGCTGTGTTGGTAAGCGAGAGTCCCACGGCCAAGTTCGCAGCTGAGAAGTTAACTCTCTAGAGAGCACTGTGGTGCCTGAGTCACAGCAGTTTGGGGACCTGCGGCCGAGGTCGATACAACAGTCTAGATCCCCGAGAGTTACTGTTAGTACGCCAGCATGCCTGGGCCATTCCTGGCTCTCAGGTCACCTCCTCAGCTCACGGACCACGGTGGCCTGCCATTAGAAAATGCCCACCACAGGTCATGGAAAACATTATGGCAAGGTGGTAGAATTGAATACAAATTGGATTTCATAAATAAGTTTAAAACATCCAGGATTAAAACATTCGAAAATAGAAGCATATACATTTCATATCATACATAGCAATAGTTTAAAGAGACTAATAAAAATACTTTTCAGAACTAATGGTCTAAGTCCAAGAATGCTTCGGTTTTCTTTAATTAAGCAAATTCAGTGATTTAAAATAATGCCGTGAAGTTGTACGTCTGTGCACACCTGGGCATGTGTGCACGGCACACTCATGAAGACCTTGGCTCAGAAGGTCAGTAACATCCTGGCCATGAACTCAACACTGACCTTTACGGTGTGAGGTTACAGGCACTGAAATACCTGCTTCATTTTGTCTTGGTCTCCTGAGAAGAAATGTCCTTTGAGAGTTTTAAAAATTGATAAATGTTTAAAGTATTCTACACTAATTGTCTTAAATTCAAAACACTGCATCGAGGTCACAAATAATTATTACTAACATGCTATTGAACACAGACTATATTAAACAGGAAAAATTCAGGAAAGATGTATTATATTTGTTACTTTTATTTTAGTTTTAAAATGGCACCTATTTTATTTTGGCTGTTTGAAAATTAGAAGTTTTTTTCCTCATACTAATCTGACACAAGAATTACTAGAAAATATGACTGGCTATGCTTTCAGGGAAGTAAACTGTGCGGGAAATGAGCGGCTTCTGACGTTGGGATGAACCAACACCACGGGTCAAGGCATAACAACTTCCCGTGCTGTGTTAGGCTGGATGTAAACCCAGAACATGATTTCTAGATAAAATGTTGGGTATTTGATCTTGTATTTTAAATTTTATGGCCTGGAACTACTGAGTATGATGACTAAGTGAGTTATTTCCCAGAGACTATAGTTTTTAATGCTCAATTCAAATAATCTAGTATTCTAATAAGGACAAAGCTAGTTCACACAACTGCAAATTAATAGAGGATGCTCTGTCACCCTTCGCCACTTTGCACATGTAAAGACAGTCCCTGCCTGTCTTGGATGACTGACCCCTGTGAACAGTGGCCACTTCCCCACAGCACTGCCGAGACAGACAGACAAGTTGGGGCCCAAAAGACACTCCGGCTGTCTGCCAGACCCGGTTTCCTGCTGCCTGGCAAATCCCAGCGAATCGTGGTTACATTTTCATTTGATAACAAAATGCACCAAAACCTTACCAGTCCTTATCTGAACCTTAGGCAAATCTGGCTAGCCAGGCTTGACACCATGGAGCTGCTTCCTTCATGTAGGAAGAAGACCAGATACCCCAAGCGATCAGAGCAGTAAAGCAACACCCCTGTGCCCATGCGCGCCGGGACATGGAATCCTACCTTGGTGTTGAAGTCCAGGGCGTTCTGAGATGTTTTGTACAATTCAGGATACTTCAGCATATTCTCTTTTCTGCACGATCTCTCAAAGATTCCGAGAGTTAAGGGAGGCATTGCGGTGAACATCTGAGGGGCACACACAAGTCGTTACACCAAGCAGCCAAAGGCAGGGTGAACCTTCATCCCAAAGTGTTCAGTAACACAGGAAAAACCAGTGTGTTCCAAACTTACCACATTATAAAGACCTATACACCATCTCTCAAAGAGGATCTGTCCCGAAAAGCCATTAACGAAGGCAAACCAGATCTAGAAAGAAAGCCCAAAAGCCCCCAAATTAGAACACACAGAAATAAGTGCATTGTGTCCAATCTGTTGTGGACTGAACACTGCATAATAACTTAGTATGTTCATGACTCTCTTGAAAATGGCATTTCTTTGCTTTACTTTTTAATTTGAAGGATGCTTTCATGAAGGATCTGTTATTTAAGTCAAAATTGGTTCCACTTGTTGAATAAAAAAAACACACACAACATCACTAGGCAATCACAGGTTAAAAAATGTAAATATAATCTTGTTTTTTAAAAGACACTTCAGGGACTATGTTTTATGCCATTAAATTTTTAGAACTTTATTTCCCTTTTAAAATATGTCCTGATAGTTATTTAAAGATTATTGCTTTTTATGATAAAATAACACATTTATTCAGAAGACAAAATAATGTCCTGTAATAATACCATCCTTGTTCTTTTTCTTCTGTGTTAACTGTATTCACACAGTTCATTGACATGAGTTCAGAAACTAACCTGCAGGAGACCTGCTGCATGAGGGTGGTGTCAGGTCCTGCTCCACTGCCCGGCACCATCATGCAACACACATTTTCTTAAGTTGTTACGTACCCTTTAAAATGATGTTAATGGATGTACAGTCCCTATAGGGTAGCTGTAACTATTTCTGGATATTTAGCTTGGTTCCAGTTTTTGCTATTATATATAATTCTAAACTGAATATTCTTATACAGAAGTTCCATACATTTGTATTTCTCTAGAATGAGTTCTTCTATTCAATAAAAGGCAGCTTTATTGAAATATAATTGATACACAAAAAACCCACACATATTTAACGTATACAACTTGGCAAGTTTGAATATATGTATATATCTGCGAAACTGTCACCATAATCAAGACAATAGACATAATACCACCGCAAAAAATTTCCTTGGTGCCTCTTTGTTTTTGTTTGTTTCTGGTTTTTTTTTAGGATGAATTCTTAGAAGTAGAATTAATGGGTCAAAGTATATGAACTTTTAAAATAGTTCTTGATAATTACATCAGAATTTTAAAATATCAGAATATAAAATATGAATTATATGTTAAAATATTTTATAACAGGTTTATGCTTTGATAAAATAGATCTTTAATAGAGCATAATGTTATATATTTCATAATTCTCTTGAAAACAGAAATCTTAATGTTGGATACAAAATTAAGAGGGAATATAGAGAGATTTTATCCAATATGTTTAAGACAAATGGTAGCTTACAGTGATATTAGTAAATCAATAATTCCTACATTATCTAAAATGTAATTAAAATCACATTGACCGGGAAGAGCAAAATGCTGGCCCAGCAATGAGATTACATAAACACAAACGCAAAACCGAAACATAAAACACAACAAAAAACCTGTTTAGAGGAAAGCAGGCTTGACATGCCCGTCAAGAGAATTTTTGAATTGGAGTTGCAGGGACTTTGCAGGGAGTTGCACACTTCACGTTTCATTTAACCTCATTACAGAAGCATGGATCGCTACAAATTCACCGTTTATCAATATGTACCCAGGCGGGCCTCCCAATGGACAGTTCCTGCACCCACATTGATCTTTCTCCTTTTTATAGCTGAAAGGAATGACTGAGCATGGATAAAAAAATGAATGTTTACTTCATGCAATGAAAAAAAACAAACAGAAGCAAAGTAGCAGTAGCACATGAAAAATAAGCCCGAATTGTGTTAGGGCTGTAACACACATGCACAACAACGATAACAAAAGCACGGAAGCTGGAGACAAATCTGATGTTGTTGCTTGCTTCGCCACATATATTTACAGAAAAAATTTGAACATTTGTCCTAAACAGGGAGCCACATCATTCATCTGTGCATGCAAACGTGAAAAGAATTTGGCACCTTCGTGTGAACTTAAATTTATTCTTTAGGGTGATGCTGCTGACTTTACTTTTTTTCTTAGTGTTAAGTATACATACATTAACAAGACAGACTTCAACGCTGCTATTGGGTTTTCACATTTGGCCTTTGTGAGATGGGAATTATGTAAATATATATTTGTGATGCTCTGAGTGATGGTAAAGTTCTCTCTGAAGGTGACTCTGATCTACTGTGGTATTAGATACAAAAAAACTCTTAGAGATTTCTTAGGGTATAGTGGAAATATAAGAAAATTTTAAATCAAAATGTTCAGTTATGGCCTTAGCATAAAAATGCAGTCTAAAATCTGCAAACTTCAAAACTGGTTTGAAGAAAGCCAAAGCTATGTGCATAGCAAATTAGTCTAATGGGTGTGGCTCAGCCCACAGCCTCTGCAATCATCATTACTGAGTAATATAACAATTTATGTTAATAAATTTATTGTGTGTGAGTAATATTTGCAAATGTGAACAATCTCCCAGCTTCTTCGTAAAAAACAAGAGGTGCTGATTCAAATGTGCCACTATGAACTTGGAATTTAAGAACCTCCCTTAATCTATGACTACTTACAAAAAGTTTCAAACTCCAAGTAATCTGCAAATAAGCCAACATGTCTGTTTTCACAGTTAATTTTTTAAATGCATGAATTTACTGCTTTATGACAGAAATGCAGAAAGTTTTAAGTGGATAGCTATAAACACATTTTTACCTTTTTATTTTTCCTACGGAAAGATGAGTACTTTTTAGAAATTTTCTTCCTGCATTTAAAAAACTTTGTATTCTAATTCCCTTTTTGAAGAAGGAGACACTTTCCAAGACAGTACCCTACACCATCCTGCAAACATTTTGACATTCAAAAACAGAAGGTCTTTAACAGCGAAGTCCGGCAGAAGGCTGATTTCAAGTCAGTTGGAATTTGTAGTTAAAAGGTATATTAGAAACACCCTCTCGCACTAAATAAAACAACACGTACATTTCTATAAATACATAAAAGCCCCTCCTCTGATGCAGCCGAAACCAGAGATGCAGAAGGAAGACATTGCTTCCTCTGGAGAGGTCTCTGTATTATTTAAATTCACAGGAAACCCACACCCCAGCACAATGTGTGGGGAAAACATCACCTCACTGACTTCATTCAGAGCTTCTAGAAATTAGAACCACCACATTGTTTTGGGACCTTACCAGGAAGCCTGGGTGCAACCAATCGTTTGAAAAAAAATCTAATTTTGGTAGGAAGGAGTCAGATGTCTCCCAAGAAATCGGACACAAACCACGTTGGAAAGAACCAGTCTTTTCCATGCACACCTAAAGTGGCTGCTGGGCGGCCACCGTTAAGCAGGCGTCTTATTCAGCCACCTGCCAAATCTGTATTTATTTGTTTGGCTGTAATTTATGGCCACGAAGGAGCCAGAGAGTGGCATTCCTGGCAACAGGGCAATGGGAAAAGCAGTTTTCGCAGATAATCTGTAAAACCCATAGTGTTCCAGACTATTCCTTTATTAGCAAAGCAACTTCAGACCTGCCCCTCCTGGTATTATTCCCAGAGGGCTGCGTCCCAGCAGAGGCGTGGCCGCGAAAGCTTCACACACAGTTTCCTGACGGAGCATTTCTGCATATTAAACAGCAGCTTACACACAGTCAGCGACTCCACTGCTCCCACGCCTGATCAGCACAAAACACTGAAAGGGGAGGCTGGAGACTGGCAGTTGTCCTCACTAGGGACATTCAGTGATGTGTTTTCTGTCTATTCATTCCCAGTATTGACATGAGCCATTAACATCTGCAGGGCTTGTTTTAGCTGGCTCAAGTTGGGTATCTGGGAATTGATGGAAAAGGTCAATTTGGTTCCAAGATAGTTGAATTCTATTCAAAGTACATTTCCTTAAAGTGCTAAAAGAAAAATAACTAAAAAAAAAAAAAGAGTTTTCCAATAGAGCTTAGGACTTAACTTCTTTTTCAGCATTTAAAGAATTTGGTCTGTGTTAAATATCTCATGAAGGGGCTTTAAAGGCAAAGCCAAGTGAAATTTAGGGCTGATCACCCACAAATTGTATAACGCTGGATGAAACAATGAGTACAGAGTCAGTTTTCCATTTGAGTTTAATACATTTTATTCCCCTCTTTGTACATTAGTTTTACCTATTTCACTGCTGATTGTCAATGATCTAGATTTAAAAAAATCAAATTGAGTACTTTTATTTCACTTTATAAAATTAAGTTTTTGTAAGCACACTTAATGGCTTTAAAGTCCCAATATCTTCAAAACTATATGAAAATAAAGTATATAAATAGACATTATTTTGAATGAGAAAAAGTATGATTAGAAAAGTATGTAGTTAGCAAGTAACTACATTAGAGACTGGTAATCAAAAGTAATTATTTCAGGAAAAGATCACAAATTTATATATACAAAAATATATATAAAATAATTGTACATATAATAATATATAATATAGATTTATGTATTATATATAATATTATATTATATATACAAATAATATATTTTGGATCTCATAAGCTATTTTGGAGGTACATTTTGCTTCAAAACACAGACCATTATAGGCCAAATCAGTTGTAGTGAACAATATGTTAAGTTTACAGATCGTCCTGTTTGTGTTTCCAAGTATTTGATTATTTTACCTAATGGGTTGTAACCTAATTACAGATTTTTAGTGACCAATAAATAAAACTGCTTGCACACCTGAAAACTAAGTTTCAGTTTATGAGCTGACTGAGGATAAGAACTGTGCTCAGTCAGTATTTTAACAAAGAGATAAGCATCCTGACAGGCCCAGAGAACAGCTGAACCAAACATACAGTAGTTCCAACTAACCTGCCTGCAGGGTACACGTGAAATCTAGATTTGTTTTGTTTGTGTACAGTGTGACTTCTCTCGTGTCAAGTATGGGATGTTGTTTTCATACAGCAACGGTTAGGTGGTGTCTCCTCTATCAGATGTGTAGGAACAGCCAGCAGGTTTGAGGGTGAAGCACATGCACCTCTGGCAGGAGGGGCGGATGCAGGGCTTTCTTAAAAAGCTACGAGAGCCCACCTGCGCGCTCCGAGGAGCTGCAAGAGGAGCAAGAAACTGATAACATCTGGAGCTTAAGTATATTACAAATACTCCTTCTGATGATAAAGAACTCATGAAGAACTTTATAGTGGTTGTGTGTTGAAATGATAATATTGAATACACTGAGTTAAATAAAATAGCATTCGAAATTAATTTGGGCTTTCATTTTTACTTGCTACTAATGTGGCCTCTAGAAAATTTAAAATCACGCCCGAGGCTTGCGCTGTATCCCTGAGGGAAGCCCCTGGAGGGCGGGCAACACGCCTGGTTTACTCTGTAGTTGCTGAATGGAGCCCGGTGTCCGGCCCCCGCTGGGTGCTGGGCGCAACACTGTTTGTAGGAAAAAATACATCCCTTTGGAGGTGATATTCCTGACCCAGGCTAAGGTTTCACTTAAAAAGCATATTTGACATATAAATTAGAATTTGAAATTTCTTGCTATCCAGACACAGGAACTAAATATTCTGATAATTTTTAGATTAATTCCTCATTATCTAAATTCTTACTACCAACCAAACTCAGAAACCAAAACAGATCTGGTAGCAAGGGATACTTAGATGTATAAGTGCCTAAGTTTGAAACGTAGTAAGAACTACAAGATGACCGATACTAGCAACACTGCTGATGGAGCCTTTCTGATTCTGCCTCTTTGCTCCCCCTGCCCCTGCAGAACTGCTATCCTCAGCTTCATGTCTATCAGTCCCTTCATTTTCTTCTAAAATACAACTTCTGTGTATGTATCCCCAAACAGTATATTATTTTCTCTTGTATGTTTTTGAGCTTCATTAAAAAATTCTATATAGTTTATAGTCTTTTCAAAACTGAAAAGAATATTTCATTAGCAATTCTAAGTGAACATTTCTTACCAAAGCAATATCCCTTTTTTAGCTAGAATTTAAACATTAATTATTCTCCGTGGCTGACAACCTTTTGTTCCAGGGGTGTCCAACTTTCTGATGTGTCTGGGCTCCACTGGAAGAAGAGTTGTCTTGGGGCACACATTAAATACACAAACACTAACGAGAACAAAAAAATCTGTTATCGTTTTAAGTAAATTTGTGATTTTGTGTTGGGTTGCATTCCTGGTCATCCTGGGCTGCATGCGGCCTGTGGGCCACAGGTTGGACACCCTGCAACATGTTTAGAAGTTATATAAAGTGGGCAAATGGATTAATTAAGATGAGAACGTGTCTTCATAAAGACAATTTCCTTACATATCTATATAAGCAGCATGGAATTAAAACTTAACTTGCTATTACCTCGATGATGTAGAGGACTATATTCTTGTAGAAGCAGTACAAAATGCACTTGGAGACTCTGTTGTAGTTCCAGGCACCATGAACCATCAATAAATTCTTCAAATACTTGAACTAAAACAAGAGTGGGAAATGTTAGTGTTTTCCTTTTCCAAGTGTCAGCTGGCTGACAGGACTGGTGGGCTTTGCAGAAATGATGCCCTACCTGAGCTATGGAGTAATCGGAAGAATTGGCTGCCTGGAGGCCTTCGTTACCACTGATGCCGACCCCGACGTGTGCTGTCTGTATCATGCTCACATCGTTGGCTCCATCGCCGATTGCAAGGGTTATGACTTTGACTTGCTTCTTGACCATCTCAACGACTTCAGATTTTTGAAGAGGAGAAACCCTTCAATTAGAACAAGTGATCAGTTAGCTCTGTTTTCTGGGAAAAAAAGGCATTCTGAAATGTCAATGGTCTTGAAGGACATAAGAAGCAGGGGAGCCAAATGAATACGTAATTCTATTCCATTATGAAAAAATCTTACGTTTGCAAATGTTTGGTCCTCTGTTAACCTGGATGCCACTTCAAGGGAAAAAAATAACGCTGAAGTCTTAGAAGCAAACCTCTAGGAGGCAAACCAAACTATGATACCTTGTTAAGTACTAGTTTACCAGTTTACCAGTACTAGTTTATTTTTTATCAAGTTTGCATTAACTTGTTAGAGAACTAACATTGGAGTTCAGAAATTCCATGACTTCCTAAGAACATCAGCATTTCTAATTTTTCACCTTTGAATGGAAAAAAGTCAGACAGGCTGTGGAACAGCAGTCCAAATACTAACTGAAACCGATACCATTTATGGAAATGAAAAGCTCTGAGCCACTGAAATTTGATCGTAGGCAATGTAATATATATTTAAAACTACCTAAACCTCTGCTGAAATGAACAGTAGGGAGTTGGCTAACCTCGCGACCTGTTCTCAGACACCACGGTCAAGCAACCACAGTAAACACCAAATACTCGGTTACGTAGTTCATGCGCCTCAATTCTCTTTTGAAGCCACTAACGGCCAACTAGCACCAAACACCCGTCTGTGTAAACGTGGAGCAGGAAGAGAGAACAGCAGCACCCACACTAAAATCATCCTTGGTATTAACTTTGGGTCAACTTATCACAGACTCTTAAGAAATAAACCCCACAACGACAGAAGGGTTCAAAGACCAAGTGCGTCATCGCACTGAATACGTTATGTACTCTGCCTTGGAGACTTAGGAGAAAGGAAAGCCAAACAGTGAACTGGCTCAGGAAACTGTGAAGATAGAAATTAAATACTGAGAAAGAACTATCAAACAATATTTGTGAACAAGAAAAAATAACTCAGAGCTAAATTCTTTATCAAGTGGACTAGGTGTCTCAGAATATCTGCTGGAACATCTGGTACGTCCTTTATTATTCTATTTACAGATGAAGATCATTACTATGAAAGAGTCAACATCTTGCTCATTTCCTGGATTATTTCTTTGGGAAAAATCCCTAGCAGTGGATATTCAGCACAGATATGCACTTTCAGGGGGACCCATGGCCCTTCAGAAAGGCTTCATTCAGCCAGAGCAGCTCTGGGTTTTAGCTCAGGCTTGAGAATCATCACCTAAGGCTCTGAGTTGCTCTGCAGAGTGAACCGGTCTCCTCATTTTGTACACCTAGTGCTGATCCAAAACAGGTGCTCAGTAAAGGGTTGCGATACGAAAGACTCGTTTTCAAGTGTTTTTTGGAGTTCCTTTCCGAGTCTAGCCATTGTGCAAAGTGACGCAACTGTGAATACAGTAGGATGGATGAGAATCAGCCCCTTCCACGAACGGGCTTGTTCACTGTTAGCTCCCATTTTTCTCTGAAGCAATTTTCATGTCATTTTCACATTTTATTTAATTTTTCTGAACAGGCTAAATAAACTGGTAACCCCACTAGCTCTAGGCCCATGTCGTAGGCCTGGTGTACAGATGGCATTCAGTAAAGGTCAAAACTTAAATGGGCTAAACAAACAAATGGGAAATGGGCGGGAAAAGAGGGACGCATTTGAGAACATGTATTGAATCTTCTCCACAATTTAACAGTCTCACAGTGTAAAAACATGTGAAGTCGTACCATCCACGAAGCTAGAAAGCAGTGGTATTTTGTTTTCCAAGTGAATGTGTCACAAAGGAGCCATCTCCACATCTCAGCTAATGTTAGTAATTTAAAGAAGCACCGAGAAGAGCTGGATTAAACTCTGTTTTCTTTCTTCACGGCTACTATGGCCAACCACTGCTTTCTCTGCTGGACACTGCACTTTTCCTTCCCCCCAAATTAGAACTGGCTGCAAATCTTCCCCAACTCTGCGGGTGTGGTTAACTCAGGTGTTAAAAACAGAATACAAATCCCCATGGCAAGAACAAGGTCTATTTTTTTATAACAAAGTCTGATGATGAGGTGAGAGACATCCCCCAATCACACTGCTCCCGTTACTTACTCGCTAAGGCATCTGCTTCTGCTATCAAGTTAAAGGAGACAACTGGGTTGGAAGAAGACTCAAGACACAGTGGAAACCTCATTATCCGAAGGGTGTGATGTAGCAGCTGGGTGCTAAATAGATGTCAGATTTAAGTGGGGATTCATAAAAAATAAAATATACCTACTTCAAACGTTAACTCAAAATATAAACGTGCACACGTGTGATGTAGGGCAAAGAACCTTACTTCGCCTAGGGGTCTGCGTTTGAAATCCTGTGTATTTTGGTTGCAGGAGCCTCCCTCCTGAGGTACCATCCACGGCTGCTTTCGTTAAGGTGAAGACCAGAAGCTACTGCTGCCCTTCACCCAAGTTTATTTTACCCCAAACTCAACAGCAAATGTTCTAGCAACTCAGAAAGTCTTTGTAGAGTATTATACCTGGTTTTCCTGGCAACGGTTTTGACCAGATTATTATTTTGAAGACTTAGGACATATTTAAGTAAGGGAGGATGACTTTAAGAAGCAGCACAGGAATAAACAGATTAGGGAAGAAGCACCCACTGATTTTTGGTAAACACCCCATAAGCCCACAGAAGCAAAGGGCGGGGATGCACTAACAAGCACCCTGCCCACTCTGGTGTGATGTGCAGGGGGCACCTGCTGGCACGCCTTAGGAGAGACATGTGGTTTAAGGGGATTCCGGGTACCCAAGCTGAAATCAGTTAAAATTATCCTCTATGTTCTCAAACCATCCATTTAGAAACTTGTTCCTTGCTACAAAGGGCTACAAGATGGCAAAATAAATGACAAAACATTAAAAATGAGTGTGGCATAAAGATTTTTGATAAAATTCATAGTACTTGATAATGTTGGAGGACATAGAAATTAGATTGATGAGCTAGAATCTGACTTGGCCTTGGCAAAGAAAGCTCACAGCAGGTAAAAGAAATAGCACGTATTAAAGTTTTTTTAACTTCATGTTAAGTATTATCCATAATATATTCCTTCCCACTGTTTTGTTCCTACCTCCTAAAGGTTACTTACTTCACTCATTAGAGTTCATTTTCTTTTCTTTTGTACACCTGCTTCTACATTTGTATAATTTCCATAATAGTCTAGAACAGCAATTTTCAACCTTTTCATCCCATGGCACACACAAACTAATTACTAAAGTCCTGCAGCACACCAAAAAATAGATTTATTAATGATCCAACAAAAAAGTAGGTATAATTTTTATTCATTCACACCAGACAGCTATCGTTGTGTTGGCTGTCTTATTTTTTTTAATTTGATGATCCAAGGGAAAAGAGGTACGTGTCCTTGACTAAATAGCCAGGCATTGCCTATTTCAAAAATTCCTGCAGCACACCAGTTGAAAACTGCTGGTCTAGAACACCCTCGCCATGCAAGTTAATTCTTCCAAGTGTCTGTCCAAATCCACACATCTGTGGCTAAGAATATTTAAAATCTTCATTTGACAAATACCCATAATGACCCATGTACAACCCAGAAACACCACATAAGCACTGTTTTCTATTCTAGATATATGTATCTACCATTCTGGATTTGCATTAGGATGAAATTATTCACAGTTCTCTTCTGCTGTTGCTCTTTTTGCTTTAGGAGAAGTCAGAGCCTCCATAGCAAAAGACCACGCCCCCAGAGCGTGGTGCAAAGGTCCCGCTTTCTTTCCCCGGCTTCACAAACAGGGGGTGGTCCTTTGCGATGCAACCGAGCAGTGCACTGAGTGCAATATGCTTTTCAGATATTATTTTGGCTGTAGTTTCTGCACATGTTATTCATTACTTTCCTTAGTTGCTATGTAGTAACTCTCACGGCCCTGTGAAAATTAGAATGTAGAACTGGAAGTTTTTAACTGTTTAAACTAGAAAATGTATAGATTGTCCCAAATTACATGGGCCTCATTTTGCACTCTTTTAATGAGATTATTAGCTAAATGAATCACCTTTTTGAATGAAATATGGGTAAAAATTATATATGCAGGTATATACATAGACACCTAATAAGGAACATTTTAAGGGACTTTCCTTAGGTAGCCCACAGGGGTACAATAATTTACCTTACTAGATTGTATTTTAGATTAATAACATTAAAATATCTTTTATAGTAAAAATTATGCTGATGATACTATCTTACCTCAAAAACTTACACTGTGAACATAAAAGGTACTATGAAGTTGTCTTTAGAAGGTGAATCTAGCCCTGGCTAGTGTGGCTCAGTGGATTCAGTGCCAGCCTGCGAACCAAAGGGTCATTGATTCGATTCCCAGTCAGGGCACGTGCCTGGGTTGAGGGCCAGGTCCCCAGTGTGGGGTGTATGAAAGGCAACCACGCATTGATGTTTCTCTCCTTCTCTTTCTCCCTCCCTCGCCCTTTCTCTAAAAATAAGTAAATAAAAGAAGGTAAATCTAGAAAAAAAATAAAGAACATGGAGGAATACAGTCATTCCTTATCATCCTGCAGTGTTTCCATAGTGACTCGGTGAGGACAGAGCCTCTGTGTTTCCCAAGCCTGAGGGCAGCTCCTGGGGACTATTTAGAGATCAGGACCAATAGCCTGCGGATCTGCTGCACTTTCCCTCCAACAAACTTCCTACGATTTCTCCTTGGGAATATCAGTCCGTTCCCCATTGAGTCATATTCTGCTGACTAATAAAGAAATTACAAAAAAAAGAGGGAAAATCCTAAGAGAAAAAGCTCAAGGGATCTTATTGGATTGTTTTTTGAACTGGAATTTGTGAAGCTCTTAAAAAGTTTTAAATTGAGGAAGAATTAAAACATGGCAAAAAAAAATTGCCTTCTGTGTACCCAAACTGCACGAGGGTCACGACCCTCCCAGAAACTCACCACAGTTTATTACTGGGAGGGAAACAGCCACTTACACAGCAAACCCTAGAAAC